GTATAACTGATTGTTTCTCCCTGACACAAAAGAACTGTCATTCTATAATAAAATATATTTCAATAGTGTTTCCAGTAATATCTACCAAAATGCCATTTCCTTCAAGGCGTATTTACATATAATTTCCTTTGTTCCCTTTTCAGCCGTAAGTATTTATAAGCATTAATTGGTACAAAAACCAACTGTGTTGTAATGTACGTGCAATAAAATACTCCTGTTTTAAAATAGTACCTTTCCACCAGCTTTGACAAATTGTACTACTTGTATAACCACTGTGATTGGTTTCTTTAAAAGAAGACAGATACATTACCCTGCTATAGCTATTTCACATGAACACACACACACAGGTCTGCAACCATAAATGCAAGAATTCCTTGCACAGCTCACTGGCAACGCAGTCTCTCCTTAAGCACTTTCAGTGCGCAGGGGTTTATTATGAAGACAAACCATGTCCCTTTTCGACAACTATAGTCAAGTGTGAGAAAGTGTTCTCCAACTTAATACCGGCTCACCTGGAGCAGCACAGGTTAGAAGGCCACAGACGTTTGCCTTTTAGATATCTGTGTACACAGTCACTCTCACCCTCACTTATCCACCCCGTGACTTCTGCAATCTCAACAGTTCCAATGGTTTCCCAAAGTTTCCAGAACCTTCTCCCACACTCCTCACTCTTTTCTGAGGCTCCCCAGTTGGCCTCCTAAGTGGCCATTGTGTGCAGTTTGACCTGGGCAGGGGACTGAGGCAATTGCCTCCTAGATCTCTTCTCAAATATTTGCTAAGTGCCCAGCATGTGCCAGGCACTTAAATATGAGTAAGACTCTGTACCTGCCCTCACTAAGATCACATAATTCCATTAATGCGACCTAATTAACGATTTCAGCTGTTGTTTTAAGGTCAAGGCTCATATTGAACTTGGAATGAATTAAGTTCATATACATTGCAGTCAAGGTAGAAAAATTCCTTCCAACCTAAGTGCAGGGCTTCACAGAGGCCCCTGTTAGCTTTTATTACTTTGATTTTTTGCCTTATTAAAAATCCAACATAGGTATTCTGGCAAGAAATTGTTAAGGTGATTAATATTATAGAAAATAAAGGTGTGTTCTTATTTCTCCTCATTAAAATTACAATCAGTTTTGGAGTGAAGGGTGAGTTACACTGTGTGGTTTTTACCTATGGTGATAAATACCAAGCTGTGTTGTATCATTCATGGTACTACAGTGTGATAGCAAATAGGCATAACTTTTTTCTTTTTATTCTTTTTAGAGAGGATATGTTTCCATTTTCCTTTTTTTTTTTTTGAGAGGAAGGGATAAAAAACATCGATGTGAGAGAGACATGATTGGTTGCCTCCTGCACTTGCCCAACTGGGGCCAGGGATAGAACCTGCAACCCAGGAACATGCCTTGACCAAAATCAAACCGGTGACCCTTCAGTGTTCAGGTCAACACTCTAACCATTCAGACACACCGGCCAGAGCTTCTTTTTTCTTTTCAAATTGCGGGTACTTTTCCTGGCAAACTTCTACTCAACCTTCAAGGCCAAATAGAGATGGCACCACTTAGGTGAAGGCTTCCAGATTCCTAGACAAAGGGAAGAACAACCTCTTTCTTCTCTCCTTGGCTCTGAGCTCATTACTGTAGCATGCTGCCAGGTCATTTACCCACTTTCATGTCTGTTTAGGGTGACCAACCATCCTCATTTATTTGGGACTGTCCTAGTTTGAACATTAAAATTCTCAAGTCCTGGAAAACCCCTCAGTCCTGAGAAAATCAGGAAAATTGGCCATGCTACATGAGAATGTGAAATGAAAGAAATGAGACTGTTTAATGAAATAGCCATCATTTACGAGGGACCAAGTACTTCACAAACATTACCTTATTTTTCTTATTTAAGAGAACAGTAAAAGTAGTTACATTATCCTTTTCTATAGAAAAAGAGAGGAGACAGAGAGGTAAGTAACTTGCCCAACCCCGATCACAGGACACCTGAAACTGAATCTAGGTTTGCCTGAATCAGACCACCACACTATATGGCCATCTTAGGGCCTGGTGGCAACTCTACCCAGCAAGCTCTCAGTAAACACTGCAGAATCAGTACTTCCTGACCATCATTCTTCTATCAGTCACTGCCAGGTAATGTGCCAGGACTGGTTCTTGAGAAAGCTACCAGGCATTTTCAGTAGGACCCATGTGATAAGAGGAACATATAAAAACCATTTAGCCCTGACCGGTTTGGCTCAGTGGATAGAGCGTTGGCCTGCGGGCTGAAGTGTCCCAGGTTTGATTCCCTTCAAGGGCATATACCTTGGTTGCGGGCACATCCTCAATAGGGGGTGTGCAGGAGGCAGCTGGTCGATGTTTCTCTCTCATCGATGTTTCTAACTCTCTATCCCTCTCCCTTCCTCTCTGTAAAAAAATCAATAAGATGTATTTTAAAAAAAACAACAACACAATTTACCCATGCCCTAGCTGGTTTGGCTCAGTGAATAGAGCGTCAGCCTAAAGACTGAAAGATCTTGGGTTCAATTCTGGTCAAGGGCACATACCCAGGTTGCAGGCTCCACCCCAGCTAGGGAGGGGGGGCCATGAAGGAGTCAGCCTATCAATGATTCTCTCTCATATTGATGTTTCTATCTCTCTCCCTCTCTCTGAAATCAATAAAAAAATATATTTTTTAAAACACCTATTTACCCTAACTTGCTTATATCTAAGTGCCACCTGAAGATGTGAATGCCAACAAATTCAACCTGTCACGTGTTCCCTCACAAAGATAAGATGGAATCCTTCAAGATGGCCCATTTAAAACACTTGGCTATGTCCAGAAGAGACAATCCAGCTGTTAGACCAGACTCAAGGGCTGTCTTCAGGTGGGACTTCCTGAGCTTCAGGGACAGAGCAGAGTGCTGGGAAGACAGCTGTGCTTCTTGGCAAGAGCGCACTCCTTGGAGGTCAGCTTGCCATCCACTGACAGTGGAATTCGGGAAACATTACTTCTCCAGCACCCTCCTGCATGGTACGGGTTGCATTTTAGGATGTAAATACTCACTGCCTGCACTCACACCCGTTTTTTTGTTTTGTTTTCTACATGGTTGCAGTTGTAATTCTGGTGACCAGGAAGTGTCCTCCATGTTTGGCTTTTGACCTATTTCCCCCCCCCAACCAAACACCAAATTCTCGATTCAGGATTATAAGGGTTAGGAATCAACTTCCCCACCCCCCACCTCCAAGTTAAAAGAAGTGGAACTAGGCCCTTTTATTTGTGTATTTTTATTTAGTTGAGAAAAAGAGAAACATTGTTCCACTTCTTTATGCATTCATGGATTGATTCTCGTAGCTGCCCTAACTGGGATGGAACCCACAACTTTGGCATTTCAGGATGATGATGCCCTAACCAACTGAGCCGCCCAGCCAGGGTCCTCTTTTAAAACAGAAGTTCTAGAGAGAAAGCAGGAGTTCTAACAATGCAGGGCGAAGGGCCCCACCCCACCCACACAACCACTGGTGCGGCCATTGTATGGAGATGCGGGGCGCTATCTCTCTCGGCTCCTCCCAAGGGCCCCGGAGGTCCCCCTCCTCCCCTGGGGTATGCCGTCTGGCTCCCCCGCGAGGGGGAGGGGGAAACCAGGAGCCGCAGACCCAGCTCCGGCGCCACTTCCACGGTTAATCAGTTTACCTGAGATGTGTATTTGGCTGAGTTCCCCTGGGGACCTCCCCTGGCCACCCAGGGTCAGAGAATCATTTAAAAGCTCTTCAAAGCACGGGTCCTTCCCCGAGCCAGCCCAAGACTGGAAACCTGGGAGGGACAGGCTTTACTCTTCAAAGTGAGAACAAATGTGAAGGGATTTAGCACTTAGTAGGTAGTCAATAAATGTTAACTTTGTTTCTCCAGTCTGGGCTCCTCCTCCCCCACAAGAAGAGCCAACGCCACCCACACCCTCTCCAGGCCCAGAGGTCCTTTGCATTTTTTAACTGGAAGCTGCCACTTCCCTTCCCCAAAACGGCCCACAGCACCCAGGCCATCTCCGATTTCGTTTTGTTCATCTATAAGCCAGGGCAGGGGGGCACACGTCTGGCGTCTTTCCCAGGTGCGACATTCAAAGGAAATATCAAGTTGTGCCCATTACGGTTATTCGTTCTATCCGCAGCCCGTGGATCCCGAGGCAGTCTGCGTTCAAGCCAGTCTCTGTTCCAGGCGGGTTTTATTAAAGAAACCTCCCTGCTTTTCCCTTGTTCCCGGACCCTGGCCAGCCTGCCTTTACTATGCAACCCTGGGGCACATCTGTCCTGGCTCGGCGGCCATGCGCTCTGGCCCCGAGGCCCCCGCGTGAAGCCGGCCCCGGTTCAACCAACCCGTCCTCATCGCTCCGGTCCCGCCTTTGTGGCGGATGTGAAAGCCCCGGCAGGAGAATCATCTGCCACCCCGAGGGGCCCTCCAACTGGGCCGCCAAATGGCCCAGGACTCGGCTGCAATCAGTTCCCTGCGGAGGGCCGAGCGCGGGCCGGGAGGAAACGGGGCAAGAACTCAGCGACCGCCAGTTCGGTCCTCCGGAGGGCTCCCCGCTGCTCCCCTCCCGGCTGCTTCCTTCCCCGCTGCTCCCCTCCCGGCGGCTCCCTCCCGGAGCTGCCCGCCTCCCGCAGGCACAGGGACGAGCTGCCCCGGAGGGCGCACGGCGGCCAGCCAGCCCCGACGGCTGCGCTGCTCGGGGGCTGACTCCTTCAGACTCTGACACCTGCCATCTTCTCGGGACAAGCCTGTCCTCGCTCCACAGAATCTGGGTCCTTAGGACTGTGACCTTCACCCTCCGCCACCGCCCCGCGCCACCAGCTTCTGACTTTCGGGTTTGCTCTTTTTAGAAACTCACGCTTAATACCCACCTCCCCATCTCCCCATCTTCCCACCTCCCACCTCCCCACCCTGTGCACATTAAATGCCCCAAACAGGGCTCTGGGCCGCCCCTGCTCCGGCCGCCACCTGGCTCCGGGATCGCTCTAGGTACTCACCAAGATTGGGGTGTCGCGCGGCGGGGTTGGCGCGGCCGGGCAGGCTGTGCAGGACCGGGCTGTCGAAGGGGCCGGCGGAGGCGGCGGCGGCAGCGGCCCAGGACGCGCCCACGTCGGCCATGTAGGCGGGGTACGGGCTGGAGTAGGAGCCCGCGAAGCTGGCGCGGCCGTACTGCTCGCGGCCGGCCAGGCCCGCACCCGCCGCCCCGCCGCCCGTGCCGTAGGCGGCGGCTTCCCGGGCCGCGGCGGCGGCGGCGGCGGCCGCCAGGGACCCGGTGGTGCCCGGGAAGGAGAAGCGCGGCGACACGGGCGGCGGGGTGTAGGCGGCGCCCTCGGCCCCCGCCTGGCTCCACACGGGGCTGCCCTGCTGGGTCCCGGGCCCCGCGCCCGACGGGGCCGCACCGGTGCTGCCGCCGGAGGAGGCTCCGGACGCGGCGCCGCCGCCTCCGCCCTGGAGGTAGGAGAGGCCCAGCACGGAGGAGGGCACCCGCGGGGTGGGCACGTAGACGGGCGAGGACGCGGCGCCCGCGCCGTGCATAAAGGCGCTGGGGCCGCCCGCCTCGTACGCCCCAGGAGGGGGGCCGTGGTTGGCGGCCATGGCCAGGCTCTGGTACATCCTCCCTTCTGAGTCCTCTCCCTCTCGGAGCAAGGAGCGGAAAGAAAAATAATAATCACAAAAAAATAATAATCACAAAAAAATAATAATGTATAGGTGAGCGAGGGATTGTCACAAAAATGAAGATCAAAAAACCAAATGCTTCTTAAAAATCCTTCAAAAATATATACGCCTTAAATCCATCATGGAGCAAAAGACTTGTTTCACTCAAGAAAACCCCACATTAAATGTTGGGTTCTTCCCGGAGATGGTGCAGGAGGGGCCGAAGGCGCCCCGAGGCCCGGAGGTGAGGAGCGCCCAGGGGTGGGAGATGCCAGGCAGGGGGTCTGGGCTGGGGTGCGGGAACCCGGCCCTTGGGGCAGGCCAGAGCCCTTGCTGCTCCGTCTTCAGGCCGCCGCGGCCTGGGGCGCGGGGCTCAGGCCCTCCTTTCCTCCTCACCGCAGTCGCTGTCCTGGAGGAAAGACAAAAGGGAGAGACGTTCAATCCTGAGCTTTCACGGCCCACTTTTCCCAGGCTTAGTAGCAAACGCAATCACCATGCTTGGGCGCAGCTTTGGTAGCCATGCGGTTCCAAGGAAGCTGCAGTCTTTGTTTTTCGGAGGCCATGGGGGGATCTGACCGAGTCCTGGGGAGGAGTCCCTTGGAAACGGGGGCTTCCCGGTTATTGGACATGGAATTATTGGTTGCGATCCAGGCCAACTTTTTTGTATTGATTGTCAGGGAGGATTTTATTTTACCCTATTTTTAACCATATCATTGTCCCGATACATATTTTATATATCCAAGAATTTGAGGTTTCACTGGAGTGCCTGGGACCCAGGAAATTTCACTTATCTTCTCTGTCCGCCTGCCTGTTCCTACCTTCACCTGGCCACGAAAGAACTTTACATTGGCCACAGGAGACGAAGACAAACTTTATTAAAACCCAGCAATCTAAGACATTTTGGTTGGTAATTTTCGATCGGAGGTAGGATCTAATTTCAATAAACGACCAGTGTTTGTCACATCTCAGTGAAAAGGATTGTGAGATCTCACACTATATACCACGTAGGCATTAAATCAGACAGGATATATGTTTCTTGCCAATAGTTACGTATTTTAGAGATATTGCAGATTGGGCATTAAGATGAAGAAAGGGAGGGGAATATAAATTGTCGCTTTATAGAACTAATCGCTGGACCATGCCAATTTCATTGAGTGGATTTTTTCATATCATTGGTCCACCCATGTCCAGAATCAGAACACCAAAGACAGCAGCAAAGAACAGTCCGTAGGACTTGATTATATTCTTATATCCAGCGTTTTGATTTTATCAGGCACTTTCTCTGATAACATCAGCGCTCCTCGTTCTGAAGCACCTGTTCTGTCCCTTTCTCCACAACTCCCCTAAGTAAAAGTGTCTCTCCTCATTTTACAAAAGAGGGAACTGAAGCCTCGGCAAGTTTTGAAACCTGTGGAAGATCAAAGTACAGGGAAAGGGGGTGAGGGAAGGGGATCTGTAGGGCTCCAGAGCTTTGAGGCTCTCCACTACACCCCTTTTCTCCTTATGAGGTGGCAGCCACCCCTAACAGAGGTTTCTTCTTCATTGCAATAGTAAACTTACAAAGATATTAACTGAACCATCTACCAAATCTAGGCTTTACCACTGAATGAATGAATGAGTTTAAACACATTACTTAACTTCTTTCTCAGAGCCTCCGTTTCTTCATTTGCAAAATGGCAGATATTAAAGGTATCTGTCTTTAGAGTCATGGTAAGAATTAAAAATCAATAGGTGTAAAGCCACTTATACCAGGTCTATTAAAAAAACTGTTATAACAAGCACAAGAAAGTTTTACATAATTGTTGACTATTATTATTACCACAGATTTCTCATGTACCATAAGCAAGCGCCTCAGATATAATGATAAAGATAAATGGTTATCTTTATTATTATGAAAAAATTTGGAGATGAAATCTTCTAAGTGCTTTTAACCATTTTTGCAACATCACGAATAATATTAATGAAAAGAGCACTGTATTATATAGTCACTGACTCCTAAGTATTTGCTTTCTAAACTATACAATAAATTATTGGTTTGGTGGACATTTCTTTATAATAAGAAGTTTGGTTAGAGAGCGGATACAAAAATTTTGACCTGAGATCACCAATTTTCCCCTTTGAAAATGAAGGCAAAAAAAGAAAAACACAAACAAACCCAAAACCTAATAGAAATTTCTGTGTTTAAGTAAATACATAGGTTTATCTTAACAAAATGCCCACCCCTGGGCAGTTGTTATTTTTATGTCTGTAATACTCAGTTTCTGCAGTTCTAAAATATAACATCGTGAGTTAACTGAAGGAAAGGAAGGTTTATAATTTTTGTAATCCAACTTTCAATTGATGCTAATTTACAAGTTTTAAAGTGTAAACGCTAAAAATGCCATAAATCTAACATTTGTCTTCCATTCTCTGTCTTTTTATATGGCCCATGCATTGCCTCAGAGTTGGATTACTGGACAATAGAAAGTGGAGAAAATAACTCTCTATAGCTTCCTGAAAAAACCCACACACAATAAATTAACTATTTCCTTAAACCCACTCTTGCTTTTTTTTTTTTTTCAGTCATTGAGCCCTGGTCCAGGCATCCGTCCAGGGCGCCTCAGGAGCCCCTGAAAATTGCAGCGATCTGGCCTCGCTGTGGGGGCCAGGCCTAGGTCCCAGTTTTCCCTCTATTTCTGATCACTCATCCCAGTTCACCCCAAATTCACAGGAAGTGCTATCTATCTGGGCGAGAGTAACCCACAGTCCTTTTCTGATCTATTTCTGAGAGCCAGAGCGCCAGAATGTTCGTGTCCATTTACAGGTCACTACTCCTGCTCTTGGGGCTCAGCTCGCACCGTGGCTCTGGGCCTGCTGCGCTGGAAACTGTCACACGCGAACGCCCTCAGAAGTGTGGGGGGCATCACCTCGTCACCCTCAATAAAACCTCCCCGTCTTCCATAGCCTGAAACCTGCTCCTGGCTGCCAATTCCTTCTCTGAGAAACACAGGAAAGACTTCCCTCTGGCGCTTCCCCAACCTTCCCCGCAGCGGCCGCCTCGCTGCCCGGTTCTCCCCAGGCCTTGGGGTCCCTCACCACCCTGTTCTCCCAAGTGAGAGACCCTTCATCCCCTCAACGCGGCGGCAGTTCACCACCGGGGTAACCCTCCTCTCCCCTGGATGACCCTGCACCCCCACGCCTGCCCAAAGCCAAGAGACAGAAGGTCCTGGATCCCCTCGGCAAACCGTGGCCAGCAGAGGAGGGACATCACTGCTCTCCGCCCAGATTCCGGCCCTCGGCTAGGGTCCCCCAGAAACGCTGTGGATGCGTAGGGTTGGCTGCTTTGTGGGGGGCGTTTAGCTCCCGATCAGAAAGGCGAGGACGCTGGACAGAAGGGCATAGAAAGTCTGGGCGTTCAGCGGTCGTTTTTCCGATTTCAGAGCGCCTCCCTGGGGCCTCTGTCTCCCGCAGCCACTGCGCGTCCCGGGAGCGCCCGCCGGCCACACTCCTGGGCCGGAGGGAGCCCCTCCGCGGTCCAGCTGCCTTGGGCCTGCCCCGGGGTCAGTGGGTCAGGGTGATTTCTCACGGCCATCACCACCTCCCGGGCCCTGGCCTGCTAGGTGCAAACAAGGGCTGGAGGAAAGTGCACGCGGGAGTGTTTGGATTTCAAGCCGCTCAAGTTCATACCAAAAGAACCCAAAAGCAGCTTCAAAGCTCTCTCTCTCTGCTCCCCCCATAAATCTTACTTTGTCTTAAAGAAGCTGCTACTCCAAAGGCAGAGCAGGCTTTGGCTAATTTGGTGGGAAGAAGAATGGCCAACATCTCCTTTTCACCTACTAATTACAATTACCTCTCTGTTCCCGGGCACACCGACGCGGGGAGCTCGGGAGTGTCGCGATCGGCGCGAAAGGACAAGGTCGGGAACGAAAAAGGCCGTACCTGCGGGGCTGGAGCTTCCCGGAGGGCGGCGAGCGAGCGGTCTCCCGGGCCCAGAGGCTTTGGCCGCGGCGGTTCTCGCAGCCACAGTGCCAGCAGCCTCCGAGTCCCCAGCTCGCCGCCCAGGTCCCCGCGCCCCTGCGATCTCGCTCGCCGCCGCCGCTGATTGGCCGGCGGGAGTCACGTGCCAGGGCGGGGGGCGGGGGTGAGGCCGGCCTGCAGTACCTCCGCCGGGCGTCCGGCTGCAGGGCTGTTCTAAAAACTCCCCCAGCAGGCAAAGTCCAGGCGTGGAGATCTCCCTGCCAGAGTGCTGCCGCCAGGGCGCGTGGCTTCACGCACCGCTCTGGGAGAGGTAGTTTGGGTTTGCAATTTTGTCCAGGGTTAGCATTATTAATGAACCCCTCCCTCTCCAAGTGCCCCCATCCCGCCTTGCCTCGCGGTGACCCGAATCCGTCTTGGCCCTACACTCTCGGCCCTAGACTCGGTGGGCAAGGGGCGGGACTGACAGAAGGGAAGGTGACCCCCAGTCGGGTATAGGGCACTGGGTCACCAGGAGTGCCCAGGCGGCTATAGGTCTCCAGGGGGGTTAGTGGATGGTGGGGAATCGGCCTGGCCCGGGATTCCGGATAGGTCTAAGAAACACCAAACCTGGGATTGGCCCCTCAGATCTGAGTTCGAAGACGGGAAGCCTCCATTCCCCCTGCTCAGCAGCTTCCCAGGTTGCAAGGCGCTGGCTCCAGCCCTCGACTTTATGTATTTATGCAAAATGTGCACCCGGCTAAGCTTCCCTTCTCCTGCGGACTCTCCTTTCAGATCTTTCTGTTTTCAGAGCAGCCTGCGGCGCCGCTACACTAATCCCAAGGACGTGGCGGGGCGGCCGGGGGAGGGGGAGGGGGGGACTGGAGAGCTCCACAGTCCAGCAGGACTTCTCCGCCAAGAGGGCTCTCCCTACAGCCTCAGCCTCCTCCCACACGCGGGGGAGGGGAAGGTGGCTGGCCCAGGTTTGGAGTCAGCGTCGGTGCCTGGAGGCCCTAGCGCAGGGGGCTGTGAGCCGGAGAGTCCCTCAGACAGGTCTAAAGGTTAATAGAGCAATCACAGGGCCCTATGACTGCGTAAAAATAACCCATCGATTACCGCAGCCTTCAGCTCCAGATAACAGCCGGCCGCTGGCTCTCACGCTTTCTGTTAACCGAACCCTCTCCCCCCGCCCCTGCCCCCTGCCCAGGACGCGTTTCTCTCCCTGGCGCAGACTTCTCATACCAGATTAGAGGGTCGTGAGGGGGTCGGGATGCCACCCAGCGTGAAACCTGTGCGGCTCCGAAGGAAGGGTAGGAGTGAGACCCGCTTCCGCAGTGGGTGATCGGATTGCCTGCCTGCGCGAGAGTCACCCCAGCGCCGAGGAGGAGGCTGGGACCCGGGGGCTGATGGAAGGAAACCCCCAAAGGAATCGCAGCCAACGCGTGGGGATTCTTAGGAAAATCCCAGAGGAAGGACTGAGCGCGGCTGCGCAGGGAAGTCTCTTTCCTGAGCTCTAGGTGCGGAGGTCCAGAGGGAGCTCCCTCTTGCTGGGGCTCCGGGCGCAGCGGCAGAAGGTTCTGCGCGCCCGGGGACGCACACCCCAATGTCGCAGCCCAAGCCGCTGCCCCGGAAGCTAAGGGCGGCGGGATTAGGGTCCCTTCTCCAGCTCCCCCAACTCCTCGCCAGCGCCTCTGCAAAATCTGGCGCTGCAGATCGCAGGCCTGAGGGGGTCTTGGGGGAAGGCAGATTCGCGAGGACACTCAGACCTGCACACTTTCAGACGCAGCGGAGGAGAAGGCGCTCGCTCCCTGCGCTGTTTGAAAAGGGCCCCCTCATCCTCATTGGGCGAGCAAGAGAGGCTCGAAGCCAAAGCCCTGCGTCTGGGGCCTGCAAGGCTTTCTCCCGAGAGCTGAAACTCTGTCTTTGGAAGAGCCGGTAGCTGCCCCGGCCCCTCTCTCTTCTCCGTGGAGATGTGTGGCTCCAGAGATGCCCAAGGTCTCAGAGCTGCAACTCTCAGGGGGCGAAAGGGGCTGACCCTGGGAACTAGGCGGTGAGATTTTCACTTTATTTTATTTAGCCACAAGCCAGGAGCTTGGGGCAGAGCATCTGTAGGAGCGGCCATCTGAGCGTCCTCACCTAAGCCAAGGACAAAGGCCGCTCCCAGAGATCTGCCAGTAGTGCAGCGTGGACCAAGGACCTAGAGCAGGGGTGCTGAGGTTGGCATTAGCTGCAGGGAGCCTCCCTTCGCTCTCCCCTCCGCCTTTAGTTTCTTGGAATTTCAGTCTCCTCCTCGGTACAGTGATGGGGGCACTACCAGGCCCTTCTCTACGTGGCCGGGGTTATGAGAATCCTGAAGAACTGAGCTTGCATTTTCTAAGCTATCGCTTGCGAGGAACCCCGTATTCACAGCAGCCACCCCTACTCCTGGCCAGACCCTTGACAGAGCTTCCCTCCCCCGCCCTCCCTTTCCCAATGGGCTGGAGCCTGGGAGCCTTGAAAGATTCCTTGGTTCCAGGAAGGCGCCCCGAGACAGAGAAAGTTCTGTTTCCTGTGGGGGTTTTCAGCACCCCGATTTTCTCCCCAAAGGGCTCAGCTCAAGGACAGTCCAGAGGGTGTTTGGCGAGCAGCCGGCTCCTTGGGGTGTTTCATTTTCCCTCGCCCCCTCCCGCCTTCCTTCATGGTCTCCTCCCTCCCCAGGGGAGGCAGGAGCCTCTTTGGCCGCCGCGTTGCCAGGAGCGGGGAGCATTTCAAGGCCTCGCTGGCTCGCCGGCCTGGAGGAGGTTTATCGGTAGGTTCCCAGGCTTCTCCCTCGTTCAGGAGGCCGCTGGGAGGGGGAGGGGGTGCTCTGAGGTTCGAGGTCTTAGGCTATTTTTAAGGAGGATGTTCCTCGGCTGCTGGGCTGGGATGTGGCCCAACCCCGCTCCCCGTTCTTTCTGCTTTTCGTTCCCATGCCCCACCGGGAAATTTTAATATTGTCAAAATCTCTGACCTCTTTTTACTAAGAGCCTGGGTCTAGTAAAGAGTAAAGTCGTGAGATTTGTAGACAAATAGAGAATTACTTAGATGTACTGTAAGCTTGAAAAAAAAAGTCCTCTCCAGGGCACAAGAATAAGTTGTGTTTCCTTGCTCCGCTAAGGCTCTGGGGACTTGAGCCAGTCCACACCCTCAGAAAGGCGCAGTGCAGGCTGGACATGGTGTACAGAGGAATCTGTACCCTGGTTTCTTGGAGTGGGGGGGAGTTAATAAACACAGAATTTACAGTGACACCAGCAAGAGTCTTCTCCCTCACAGTATTCCCCAGATTTCCTAACGGGACCTGGGCAGCTTGCTTTAAGTGCCACGTCAGGTGCCACATCCTCAAGTTCAGGCTGGTGAGGTCCTTGGGCGCCCGCCCGTAAGAATCAGCCTTGGCTCCCCCCACCCCCAGCCAAAACACACACACAAAAAAAAGGTTCCTTAAAAACACGTCCCCCAGAGTGTCATCATGGGGAACAAGAAGCCCAGGCAGAGCACCCCAGAGGGGACGACAGAAGTCACCTCTCTTCCTGGGTAACGAATTCCTTTGGAGATACAGACGCTTCTTTGCAGGCTTGTGAGCGAGGAGTCAAGTTCAGGCGAGCAAAGTGACCCGCGTTGAACGTAGGCGCGCTCCTGTCTCTGACTCCACAAACTTTGAATCCTCACAGGGGCACCATGGACCTCCTCCCTCTGAGACACTACCGCTCCTGGCCCACCTACCCTCCGTTCAACTCCCCCTAGGCGGAGCAGAGAGAGCCAAAGTGCTGAGCGAGGCCTGTGGGGCTGGTGAAAAAAAAAAAAAAAACCCAAAACAAACAGGGAACAAAATGTGACGCCCTGGACACGGGGAATTCTTTGTGGGAGCTGGGAGGCTCAGAGACCCTCGCCTCTTCCTCTTCGCCAGGGGAACCTAGCTCAGCATCCCCAGAAGCGCCCATCAGCCCTCCCTGTCCTGGCCGGCTATTTGGAGAAGGCAGAAATGCGTTTTTAATTCTCTAGCTTTAAAAAAACACGCTAATCTGCGTTGCAAAGAGGAGCCAGGCTCTTACTCACAGAAGTCCACAAATGCTTCCCGCTGTTTCCGGCCCTGAGGACCAGCGTTTTTGGCACACCTCCTCATATTTATAGTCATTTCCAGATTACAGAACACGCTCAGATTCCATTTTCTCGAGGAAACAACATCATCGCTAAAGGGAGAGAGAGGTGTTACCGTCCTCATCCAAACAGAACTCCAACTCAGAGCCCCAGACAGGAAAAGACTCTTGCCCAGGTGACAACTGCTGGGACTCTTGACAATACGTCCGGACTCTCGATTCCTGAGTCTTAGTTCTTTTTTTCCATTCTACTTAATATCGAGTTCCTATAATGAAACACTTTTTAAATCCTCGTCTGCCTTTCAGATACTCCTAAAGTTTCTTTAAGGAGTACGCCTGGCATTTAAACATTAAAATGGGTTTAAAAATAAAACAGGTTGTTCTCATAATCTATGAGCTTGTGGGAAAGAAAAGCAAAAAGGAGTTTCCACGTTTTCGTTAAGTTCGGGAAGGATGCCAGAGGCTTTTAAACGGGGAGGGCAAGTCAAGCGCCTCAGGTTCCGAGGCAGCAGAGGCCAGAACAGAAACCTAGTCCGCACCCACCTGAAGTCCAGGAATTCAGAGTGTCTCTGGCCCCTTGCCCTGCTGCCCTGCTGACTACGGCTCATATACCCCTCTTACTCCTCCTGGCATGGCTCCCTCTCCCTCTCCTCATCGAAGATCCTCCAACAAACAGCAACTGGGAGTTTCTAGCACCCACTGCCCACTGTCCACTGGGGCATACACTCCGGGCATGAAGCTGCCACCTTGGGAATCATCTTAGTGGTGTGGGCCCCAATTATTTCACTTGGGGGCTCTCCCTTCCATGTCCCCTGGTTGCAATGCTAAAGGTGCCCAGTCCTGAGAAAGAGCGTGACAAATGTTCTTGGAATATATAAAATGCTCATTTGCACTCTAGCTGGTTTTGCCCACTGGTTAAAGCATCAGCCTATGGAGTGAAGGGTCCTGGGTTCGATTCTGGTCAAGGGGAATGTACCTCGGTTGCAGGCTCCCTGCCCTGGTTGGGGTCATGCAGGAGGCAACCA